AATGCATGTTTAGCGATATATGTATTTACACTATATATCCGATGTAAATGAAATCGACCCTGATTTTATTGATCCTTACTATTCATAGCTCATCGAGATCATAGTTAGACTATCAAACGATGTAGACTTATAGTCAGATCTGTAAAACACATAACCATAATCTAGCTGCAACACGCTTCGTAAAGCGATCAAAACGTAATGATCTCTTGACATACATACTCGCATCAATTATAGCATATCTTATTTCGCTGTCATAGTCTCAGGTCTAATTCTGTATTCGAATATGTCCTGTAAACCTAATACCCTACACCTACAAATCCTCAGAGCATCGTTTCTCCTGTCCCACCCCCCACTGATACCAATACTTTCTTACTTTCTTACTTTCTGTCTGTATTGGTTATATATATACCTACCGTTTATACCTACAGGCGCCACGGAGATAGAGATCGATTTCCAAAAGGAGGGCGGGAGAGCCACCTCCAACAAGAAGAGTGACACTGATCTGTCGCTCAAGTCAGAGAATTTCTCGACCATTGTGTACAGGAACAACGGAGAGAACTTCCGACCGCAAGACTGGAATCGCCTGCGGACCATCGCAGAGGGCAATCCCGATGAGGAGAAGGTGGTTGGCTGCATACTGTAGTGTCACATGCGCACGTGCTTGGTTTGGGTTGGGTTGTAGCTAGCACGCCTGCACAAGGATGTGTACGTGTTTGTGTTTTGTGGTTATGTTTGTGTTTGTGTATGTGTGTTTGTTTATGTATGTGTTTGTGTATGTGTTTGTGTTTGTGTATGTGTATGTGTATGTGTATGTGTTTGTGTTGTGTATGTGTATGTGTATGTGTATGTGTATGTGTATGTGTATGTGTATGTGTATGTGTATGTGTATGTGTATGTGTATTTGTTTGTGTTTGTGTATGTGTATGTGTTTGTGTCTGTGTTGTGAGGTGGGGGGGGATTCTGCGCGTATGTACGTGTATGGACAGTGATTAGGCGTCGTCTGTTGGTCCTAACTGTATTGTATATACGTCTGTGCTGCTACGTACATTCTCATGAAGGTGTGTGGGGATGTATATCTGTTCAACCCTAGAATTGAGTTATATCCCGCGCAAGCTCTTTGCGGTAGGAATATATACACAGCTGTGCTTGTTTTCAATCGATGGAGTAAGTACACATACCGAAAAACACGTTTTGGTACAAAAATGTACTACACACACGCAGCTTACTTTTCACTAAGGGATAGAATACACGTTTAGATTCTCTCACACGAGAATGCATGCGTATAGTTGTGGGATTATCTAGAGTGTTAATATATATATATATATATGTATATATATATATATATATATATATATATATATATATATATATATATATATATATATATATATATATATATATATATA